ACCGACGTCGTAAACATGGATGTTTTTGTCGTAGATGTACAAATGGTTCTCTCTGTGATGAGTAAAACCAAATCATCATTTTCACCAGGTCCGAGTGTTATTCCATCTGCAGTCCTAAAAAAATGCTCCGATATCTTAGCTGCTCCGTTGTCCCATAGAGGTAACTCTAAGACAAGTAGGTCCCGAAGAAACGTGCTCAACTTTTTGGCTCACCTATGGTACTATCTTCGGTCCCAAGCTTGTCGAATCACCCCTCGAAACAAAGGAAAAACCAATAACCCCTCATTTTATCTGTCAAACTTTCATAGCGAATCAAAACAAACATTGCGTAGTACTAGAATTTCGACTAGAATAGGGTACGTTAATCGTTTGCTTGGGACCAATAGGCTACTAAAGTGGTGAGCCAATTTAAAATCGTTAGTTTCGTATTGATTGTTGGTTGTCCTTGCTCTTCAACCTGTCACTTCGTCAACAGAAATTTCCCGCACTATGGAAACGGTCTACTATTGTTCCCTGTTTTCAAGAAAGGAGACAAACGCAATGTGGAAAACTACCGTGGGATTACCTCGCGTGGGGTTGAATCTAAGGTGTTTGAGTCGCTGATAAATGAGAGATTGTTTGCTTCCTGCAAGCATTACATAAGTACATGTCAACATGGCTTCTTTCCTGGCCGCTCCGTGGAAACTAATCTCGTCAGCTTTACGTCGTTCTGTATGGAAAATGTATGCAAGAAACTTCAAGTGGATGCCATCTACACTGATCTTAAAGCTGCGTTTGATAGAGTTGTGCACGACGTTCTGCTAGCAAAGCTTGAAAAAATTGGATGTTCTGTTTCCTTCTGCAGCTGGCTTAGATCGTACCTCGTGCAACGTGAAGTTACTGTATGCATTGGAAACTACTCATCGTACTGTTTCTCGAACAGATCAGGAGTTCCACAGGGTAGCACTTTGGGACCAATGCTCTTCTCTTTATTTGTGAACGATGTAACGTTTATTCTACTACGAGGAGGTAAATTGTTTTTTGCCGATGACTTGAAGATTTATCTAGTCGTTCGAGGCTATGCCGACTGTTTAGAACTACAAAACCTTCTTGAAATCTTTAATGATTGGTGTGAACGTAATTTTATGGTCCTGTGCATCTCAAAGTGCTGCGTAATTAGTTTCCGTCGAACTAGGACTGCCGTTTTGTTTGATTATAACGTTGCTGGGACTGCAATTCAACGAGTCGATCACGTTAAAGTCCTCGGTGTCATGTTGGATGAAAAGCTCACATACACTCGCCACTTCTCAACCACGATCGACAAAGCTAATCGACAGCTTGGATTCATGTTCAAGATATCTAAGGAATTTCGTGATCCTCTGTGTTTCGTCATCGTTTGCTGTTGACCAATTTTTAATTTTTAATGAGTGACTACATTTAGATTTAAGTGTTTCATTGAGACTATCAAGTCAGATGGACTATAATAATAATAAATAAATAAATAAATTACAAATGGCATCAAAATCCGATTTTTTAAAAACATTTAAGCATGCGGAAAATCAAAATCTCGTAGGTTTTTTTTTACACGGTTTTTTTTTTACACGGACCGTATCCCCCGTGTAAAAAAAGACCTGAGTGTATAAAATAAGATGCGAGAACGGTTGGATAATTCTGACTCATTCAAGATTACCGATGAATAGCGGATGAAATTGGAAGATATTGTCAAGCGCGTGTTATTATTCTTTACGAATCGAAGAAATCCACAAAAATCGAATTCCAAGTTTCTGTTTTCCGGGAGCTGTGCTTCGCGATGCAAGTAGATTCAAAAAATGAAAGGCTGTATTCCATGTGGTAAATTTTCACTTTCATTTAACATTTTGAAAATATATTATAATGTTCGAATATCTCTCTGTTGTTGATCTTCCCATTTTTGAGAAGGCGTTTGTCATAAGTGATTCCTGTTCTGTCGGAAATAAGTCTGGTACAAAAGCAGGTTTATTTGAAAATTTTCCATCTGTCAAATTTATGTGAAAATTCACTGCGTCCACAGATAAATCTTAATTCTATATCAAATCAATCTACAAAAAAATCTTTAATTTTTCGCATCTAGGCTTGCATCGCACATCATCTTTTTGCAGGAAATCTTCAGAATCGTCATCAATCTTTTTTCTATCTACTCAGCGTGAGCGCAGCTAACAACACCAAAACAAAATCTTTCATGATTTGCGAAACGTTGTTGCAACTTTCTACGCTGGATGATGGAATGGCCAGTGTAGCAGCAGCACCTGCCGTCCTGGAAGCAGTAAGGTGAAAAATAACAGCGCAGTATCACGACGAGCAGCTCCAGCCGGATGGTATTTCTGGTTGCTAATATGTTTTAGCTTGAGCATTGATCTTCCGGAAATAAGTCCACATTCAGCTGCTCTCTAGATAAATGATAGATATAGTCAGCCCATACGATAGGAAATGTGGTCGGGTTTTAGCTCTGGGTTACGATTGTGATTACGGAACTGGAGGGTATCATGCATCCGGAAGGAATGAGATTTTTTTTATCGAGGATTAGAGCGATTAGATTTCATGGCGGAACATTTTCTTCATATCACAATCGGTGATGTTTGGAATGTGCGATTGATTGAGTATTGGGTATGGTTATGCATGCAATGTTGACCATTTTCAGCACTGTAGCGAGTTCCCAAATTTTGGTATGCGCAGTTATCCGAATGTGTTAAAGCAAAATCTTAGGCAGAATAATGTGCTGCTTCGTACAGGCTTTAGGATGTGCGCTGAGCTGACTATCGTTTGAGGAATCCATGGTTGGACTAGTCACGGTTGTTGCGGTTTCAAAAAATTGGATTGTGTCAACAACAATGAAAACAATCAAGTTTTGACACATGTGCACTGCGTAGGCGCAGAGATAGTACTGTGTTGCCAGACCCTTTAAATAACATAAAAAATAACCATGAGTGCCAAACAGTGCCAATGCCACGTTTTCTGGAATTGTCGGGACATTATTGTATGGATGATTCCAATGTTGAATACTCTTTTGAAGCAACTAGCTTCTAAATGGCCATTGCTTTCGTTGATCATCAACTTTGAAGTTTAAAATTAATAACGTTTGAGAGCGTGGTAGTGTTTTGTCTGTTCGTGTATCAATTTAAGTTTCTGTTCTCCCATCGTTGTCCCTTCCCAAGTCCCTCTTTTTATGTTTCGTGGCAGTTTTAAACAACCACCAGTTATTTCGAGAGAGATCGAGAGCACTTTCCCGTCACCGCACTGCATCTCCCATGGTAAATAGTCGAAAAACAGCCATTTAACGGCGGTGGAGATAAATATATGAACCGCATCCTTTTGTACCTTTTCATGATCCCTTCTCTACCTGTTAATAGATTGTAGCCCGTATCCTCGAGTAAGTCGCGAGTATTCGGACCCCTATTTTATAAACTCTATTGTTAAGAAACATTGTAAAACATAAAATGAATTTTGGCTCCGTAAAGCTTCCGTATTTAAACCTTGAGAAATGAATGAATTAAAAAAAAGCAGTGCCAATGAGTGTGCACAGGCGTACCCAAATCTAGAGTGACCATCCCCTTGCATTATTTCAATAGACGATCGATGTCGCCATGGTGAGTCAGAAGCAGAAGTAGTTATCGTACGCGTCAGGATTTCCTTATCAAGGTTAATCTGGGTCTGCCAGTTTTGTATTTGCTCAAGTTTTCACGGACTTTTTACTGTCTTACATTTTTAAACAGCAGCCGTTTCTTCCATCGAGACGAAAATAAACTTGAATTGCTGCTTTATTAACAGTATTGATTGAAAAAGTTGTAGGTATTGTGGTGAGTAGTATTACATTTAGATTATATACATTTCTTAGATATTTGGAATACAGATCATTTGAACAATTTGCCATTTCGTACAGATATCAGATATCCACTCAAACATGCGTAGGCAGTATCCGAAATCATAACTGAAATCGTCCCGAACCTGCCTCGTCGGCAACGCCAGCAAACTCCTTTAAATTGTCTGGATCTCGGTCTGGAACGTTTGAAGTCTTCGTTGTATCAGCGTGATTTATTGCAACCCTCAAAATTCGAAAAATCTTACAACAGCTTCCACCATTGGGAAATTTTTCAAATTTATATTTAGCATATAGTGGCGCTCCAGCCGGTGATCACACAACTATGAAACGAGGAGTGAACCTGCAGCCATTTCAACTCAAATGGAGGCAATAACAGCATTTGGAGAGCCGCTGAAGTTGGTAAGTCATGGATCTCAACGTCATTGATCTGGAATGGATGGACGCATTGGATCTGTGGCCAAAACTACTTGCTGCCCACGCTGTAAAAGGTGTATCTTTCCAATTTCCTTCACGATGATCACCACTTCTCAACTCCCGAAGTTTTTCAGGGCGGATTGGGTCTCGGCACAGTAACCAAATTTCGTCCGGGTGACAAGGCGTGTTAGGACTTCTCGAGAGTCCTATTTGCTGGTCAGTGGATGCGTGACATGGATTCTATTATCTATATAATCTAATGTATCTAGCAGAGATGAGCCGTCATTGGACTAGCACCACTGTCTTGCTCCCTTTCTTCCAATTTGTGGTGCATTGGATGCGAACCCACTCACGCTCACTGAAGTTTCCGGTCACCACAATTCCCTTAATTGCAAACACGCTCCTAAATTTATATCTAAAATCATGACTGCTAAATCCATTGAACCTGTCTTCGACCGTCTAGCCGGCATTATCGAATCGATGACTTGACGCAACGGTGGCATGTGCGTTTGCATCTACGCCCTCAGATTAAGTGCACTGGAATCGATTTGGATCGAATGGGATACCCCAACCCATGTGCTTTTGTGCAGGTAGAATCTAATCAGTTGCGAGACCACGAGTCCACTTTACGGGCTTGAGATAACGCGTGATGAGGAATCTTATGCAACTACCACCTAGCCGAGTTACGGTGCTTCTGATATGATTGTTGTCTAATTCCAAACACTGATAAATCAAAAACTTGTGAACATACCCAGCGTCGATTGACTAGAGCAATGGAGCAGATTGTACGATTATCAACAATGTAGATTGATCACATGACACTCGCTAACATCTTCACAAATCACTCTCACTTGTTTACATTCTCCTGCCACTCTGGAAAATGACGCCTTAGATCAACAACAATAGGTCTTCTGCTTATTGGAAGCGTCTTCCTCGCACCGGTTACACACAATTGCCGGCGAACAAAGTTTCAAAACAACACCGAATTACAATTGTAAACTAAGTTCGAATGATGAAGCCATCAAATATTGACATGAACGACCCACACGACGAAGCTATAAACTTGTTTTTTTTTCAAAACCGCACAAGTGGGCAAACGTCACACGCCACATGTATATATTTATGTGTATCTATATCTATTTCGGGAACGTCGCCGGCGTCGTCACGACAACGTGCACTCGGTTTCTGTCTGCTTCCGAAGCGCTTCTTCTTCTCGTTAAGGGTGAATTTCACGCATTCCACCAAAGTCCGCGAAGCCTACTAATCCGGTCACGATAACATCGGCTGCTGTCGACTCAATCGTAGTAACCGCACCATTATTATCATCATCATCATCATCACTGATATCGTCGTCGTCTTTTCCTATCCGAATGAAAGCGCGTCGTGGACTGCTCTACCAATGGTCGGGCGTTCGAATCTGAAGCGTCAGCGGCTTTCGGTTCGGTTTTTCGCGTTTTTCGGCTTATTGCGCGAAAAACTCACTGCGCAGCTTAATCCATGGCTGCACGAGGTTTTCGGCTGGCCTAGCGATGTGGTTCTTGTGTTTTTTTTTTCGCTGAAGAAATGAGCGGGAACACGTGCGAGCACGACGGTGCATCGTGGGACTACGTTGTGTTCGGTTGTTTATGTTCTTCGTTTCTAGATGAAAGAGACACAAAGAAAGTGACGCAAGAACGCTAGATTTGTGCTAGTTTGTTTCAGTTTTTGTGAGCGTGAATGTAAGGGAATGTCCGATGCACTGCATACAAGCTCAATGCAAAATGTTCTACCAAAAATTACCATTGAGATATGTGTCCCGATCCCAGTTTATAAAAATTTTACGTTATTTCTTTGGTTTTCGGGACTATCCAGAAGTCATTACTGGACTTACCAAGAGTCTTCCCTGGACAACCCACAAGTAAATACCAGATATCCCAGAAGACTGGCACTGGGCTTCTCACATGTGATTCTTGGACATCTCAGAAGCCATTTATGAACAGCTTTAAGGGGAAAGCGGACGTCATTATTCTTTTAGAAATTCAAAAGCAGTATTTTGGTTTAACATCGAAATTCTGTCAATGAATGTGTTCACTGTGTTCCGGTGGGCAAGTAGAATGCAATGAGAAAATGTTCATGAAAGTAATTTTGGTTTTGATACGTTTGAATTTTTGAAAATTAATGACATCCCCTTTGAGCTTCTCAGAAGTCTTCCACTATATTTTCAAATTTTATTCCTAGGTATCCTAGACGTCATTTCTGAACTGCCCAAAAGTCATCCCTAGACTTCCCGGGAAGTCATTCCTGGACATTTTAGAAGTCTTCCTTTGACTACATACTCTGAAGTTGTGCCCAAACACCGTAGCAGTTTCCATTGAGCATTATTTTTCATTCCTGGTCATCCCAAAAAGGTTTCCTTGAATTTTCAGAAGTCATTCCCTAACATCCCAGAAGTCTGTACTGAACTTACCAAACTTCATTCTCCAAAGCCGACCTTTTCCCATTTTTCTCTGGGTTTCCCAAAAACAATTTCTTGACTTCACAAAAGAGTTCCCTAGACTTCCCAGAAGTTTTCTTTTGACATCTTGAAGGTCTTCTCTGACCAACCCAGAAGTCATGCCAGAATTTCTTAAAAGTCATTCTTGGACTTCCCAAGTCCATTAATGAATGCCCAGATGTCATTGTCGGACAATCCTGAAATCTTCAGTCTAGAAGCGGTGCTTGGACTGGACATCTTATAAGTCCTCTGGCTGTGAGGACCACCCTAAACCTCACCATCTCAACCAACCCGCAATACGGCAGACTGTTGTTTTGCATGGCTTTGTTCTGCCAATCGTTCGACGGCCAGCTAGATCAACAAGGGGGATCACTTTCCCTTTCGATGGAACCTACGTTGATGTCATCGGAGATGTATTTGAGTTATATAAATTCACCACAGATTGTTTGTTCAATTCCCGAAGAACCACCCAAACAGCTCATCGAGCATCCCAACCCATCCACCGGTCTAGGAATCCTACATATTTGGTCATTCGAACCGGATGCCTGAGGACCGTGCCTGGAAAGGATCCAACGCTCGATCGGTGCCACAGGACTTCAGAAACAGCCACATTCCAACCAACAATCGTTTCATTGTGTTCCGCGGAAGAAAGGAGTGTCGCCATCATTTCGCGGAATAATGAGCGAGGCATAATTGATCATTTTGTCAAGCTTCTGCATTCATGTTCCATCAGATGTCACAGCTGTTGTTTGCGGTGACATCTATCGGAAACTATTCACAATCTGTTTTCCTATAATTGTTCACAGAGTGTGATCGGAAGAACAAAGAGAGGAAATCTGTGAAGTTTGTCGATTCTCCTGCAGCAAAGTTGACGGAGTTTCAGAAAAGTTTGCGTCGTCGGCTGAACAGATCTGTTTCGGATGATGAGGAGATGGAGTGTATGTCGATCTCTTCCATCAAAACCATCAACGAACCGTGTTCCCGCACAGTTGTAGTCGAAGATGTGCGATTAGAGATGAAAATAGACTGTGGAGCTGCAGTTTCCGTCATCAGTAGTGAGACGTACGAGGGAGAATTCTTCGATATCTCGATGCAGAAGTGTACCAAGAAGTTGGCAGTGATCAGCGGGAGTCGATTAGTGGTCGAAGGAGAGATTCCGGTGCAGGTTTAGTTGAACGGACGACGAAAGACTGTTAAGCTGATTGTCTTGAGGAGTGGAAGCTCGTTTACACCGCTACTTGGATGTGATTGGCTTGCCATCTTCTATTGGCAAATCAAAGTTGGCACTCGTGGAGAATAGAAGAACTATGAGAGTGATGATGGTTTCCAAATTTTACACGGTGAGGTATACGAGTGCAATCTTAAAATGCTATTATTTTGCAAATTGAGCATTTTATTTAAATCTGGTTAATGTTACGTTAGTAGAAAACTAAAGGACTACTCAAAAGACATATACTATAGAAAAAATAATTTCTTTTCAGATTTTTATGTGTAAACATAGATTTCAGCTTTTCTACCACTCTAGCAGAAAGCAGATTTAAATAAAATGCTCCATTTGCAAAATAAAAGCATTTTAAGATTGCACTCGTATACCTCCCCGTGGAAAATTTTGAAATCATCATCACTTTCATAGTTCTTCTATTCTCCACGAGTGCCAACTTTGATTTGCCAATCCTTACTGGAAAAATGTGGGACAAACGTGAACCAACTGTCGTTTCCGGCTTCAGAGGAACAAATTGTGGACGATGTCAAAGGTAGGTTTACCATTATTTTTGATAAATCTATTTTTAGATTTAGTGTTGAAAAAGGGAGCAGTGCCAATATTCAAGCGTGCATATGACGTTCCATTACGTTTGAAAGATAAAGTTGACGAACATTTGGAAAGTTTGGAAAAAGATGGCGTCATAACACCGATCGATGCAAGTGAGTGGGCATCGCCGGTGATTGTTGTAGTGAAGAAAGACGGAGGTATTAGGATGGTGATCGACTTTAGAACGACTGTTGGTTATGGTTTTAGAACGACTTTCTAATACCAACATAAAAGTTAATTTACAAAAATGCAAGTGGTTTGTGAAAAGTTTGCCATTTCTGGGCCACGTGTTGACAGAAAAAGGTTTGTTACCGAGTCCAGAAAAGGTCGAGACGATTCGGAAAGCAAAGGTTCCGAATAACGTCACCGAGCTGAAGGCATTTTTGGGTTTGATAAACTATTATGGCAAGTTTATTCCCAATTTATCCTCACGTATAAGCTGTTTGTATCGTTTACTCAAGAAAGATGTTAAGTTTGTCTGGACTGTTGAGTGTACTAATGTATTTAATGATATTTAGTAAGCAGTTGTTGTTGTCATCAAAACTGTTAGAATTTTTTGATCCTAAAAAGCCTGTCGTTGTTGTGACAGATGCTTGTAGCTATGGGTTAGGTGGCGTGATTGCTCACGAAATCAATGGAGAAGAGAGTCCTATTAGTTTTACCTCCTTCAGTTTAACAAATTTCCAAAAATCCTACCCAATTTTACACTTGGAAGCGTTGACTATTGTGAGTACCATAAAGAAGTTCCACAAGTTTTTGTTTGGAAAGAAATTTACTGTGTACACGGATCATAAGCCGTTGAAAGGCATATTCGGTAAAGAAGGAAACAATTCGTTGTTCGTGACGCGTTTGCAGAGATATGTAATGGAAATAAACATTTACGACTTTGACATTGTTTACAGACCGTCATCGAAAATGGGCAATGCTGATTTCTGCTCAAGGTTTCCTTTACCTGATGAGGTGCCAGTTTCGTTGCAACAGGAGTTTATTAAAAGTTTGAATGTACACAATGAGTCTCCTTTGGACCATGTTTTGATTGCAAATGAAACAAAGCAAGATGAGTTTATTCTGAAAATAGTTTATTACATGAAGCATGGTTGGCCAAAGCAGTTGGAGCGCAATCTTTTATTTAGATGTTTATGCTCAGCATCAAGGTCTTGAACTCGTCGATGGTTGTTTATTGTACCAAGATCGTATTTTTATTCCTGCTAGTTTGCAAAAGTAGATGTTGAAGTTGTTGCACAAGAATCGCTCCGGAATTACGAAGATCGAGCAGATGGAATAAAGAACGGTTTACTGGTATGGTATGAACAGTGACATTGAAAGTTTTGTCAAGTCATGTAGTGTGTGTTGCCAGATGAATGCAGTTCCTAAATCAGTTTCAAATTCCAGTTGGATTCCTACGACTAAACCATTTACGCGTATTCAAGCGGATTTCTTTTACTTCGACAAGAAGGTTTTCCTGGTTATTGTGGACAGTTTCTCGAAATGTTTCTCGGGTTATCAGACGTAGTTGTTACGAATGGCGGACCACAGTTTAACTCGAAAGATTTGATCGACTTCTAAGAGAAGCATGGAATTATGGTGATGAAGAGTCCACCTTACAACCCGTCGAGTAACGGTCAAGCGGAGCGCATGGTTCGAGTCGTTCAAGAAGGTTTAAAGAAGTTTTTACTAGATCCGGAATTGGCTGGTTTGAGTACTGAAGACTTAGTTTCGTACTTCTTGTTTGGCTACCGGAACACTTGCTTGCAAGAGGATCATTCGTTTCCTTCCGAGAGATTGTTTAGTTTTAAACCAAAGACGCTGTTGGATTTAACCAATCCTAGAAATAGTTTTAAGAATCATTCGACGAAACCCAAGAAAGTGGATAATCGTGTTATGTTTAGTCCTAGTCCTAAGAAACATGACTGGATTGACAAGTTACGTCCTGGAGATATAGTTTATTACAAAAAATTTAGACCTACAGATTTTAGACGATCGTTAGAAGCCAAGTTTCTTCAACGTATCTCCTCGCATGTTTTTCAGGTTTCCGTTGGAGGGAGAGTTTACTCTGCTCACCGAAATCAGC